CCCCCCCCCCCCCCACAAACATGGTGCACCGCCCCCAGATACTGCTTTGTGCTCCCACGCTCGCTCTCTCGGAAGGCCTAAATGAAAGAAATATACCCTGCAGGGCACCCTAAAAACCAACCAATCAAGCTGATTTGGGACTGGGCATGGGAGGGTATTTTTAAAGCTCTAGAGCCGCTGTGCAAAGTGCCCTGCTAGCTGCCCATTCATGATTACATCAAAGGGGATCCAGCAGCAGCACCTCTACTAATGGTAGCTGGGGGAGCTTGGCCAGTGACTGCTTCTGCTCTCACGCTGCATCCTGCCGGCCTAGAGTTGATGCAACCCAGCTGGGACTCAGGTGTAGCATGAGGTACACAGTGCCTTTACTTGGTGTGTTCTCAATCCCTTTGGCCTGCGTAGACTGGTGTTCTCCCACCTCCTGGTACAGAAGGGGCACATTTATACGTCACCATAGAGCACGTGGAGATACGCCGCTCTGAGCCATGTAGGCACAGTGTCCCCCAAATATTCTGGATGCCTCTGACCCTCTTTTACCCACCAGGCAGGTATAGCACCTGCAATCCTAGCGTGCCCTTTGTCCTGCTACACCCCTCCAGGGAAAACCTGCCAGAGCCATAAAGTGTACAGGGGCCTGCGCACGGCATCATCAGAGCCTGCTGACTTGATCCAGCCCCTCGCTCCTTGGCATCTCTGCAGAGCCCGACAGGCGTCAGCCTCACCGGCAGGCTGTTACTTTTGCTGCAGAGACATTTATCCTTTGGGATCTAACCTACTTCCCCATTTTGCCAATGCCGTGGGGCAGTTCGCCACGTCTGAAATGTTTGCAAGCACTTCAAAGGCTCGCCTCCCGTGTCTGCCGTAGACTCGTGGGGCCAATCCGGCTTAGCACCCTTCTGCTCGCTTCCTGCGGTGCAACAGGCACCTTGCTTCCCCGCCTTGCAAAAGACATTTTAGCTGCTGCCGTTTATCATGGAAAGGAAACGCTGGTGTTTCGCTCTGCTTTTCCATCTCCATGGCGACAGAACTCCCTCGGCCAAGGCAATTACCTGCCTCTGACAGCCGAGATGTTTCAGGGTTGTCAAAAAAAATGAAAAGTTTATTGGCGACGCAGCCAGTTTTATCAATGTAACGATGGCCTTTACTTGCTGAGCAGCGCTGGGAGCCCACGCGCTGAGCGGAGGCCAGACTCTGCGCCATTAGTGAGGGTACCAGGTGCAAAAACAGGGAACCGCCCGAGACGACCGATTCCCGGGCTCCTCTGCCCACTTTGCCCAGAACCACAAGCGAGGGTCCAGGGACCGCTCCATCCACAGCGGCGGATCTCCGCAGGCCCAGCCAGTCGCACTCTCTGTGGTCTCAGATCATCAGCGTTACTCGCTGCAGTCAACCAAAGCCACTGATGTATTTAGAGACAAAAAGAGCCCGCTAGATCAGCGGTTCCCAGTCGGTGGTACGGGTACCACCACTGGTACACAGACAACCTTCCAGTGGTACACGTTAACAGATGCATTACACTGACTTTATATGTCAAAAATTTGCTGGTGGTACTTGAGGTTTTAAATTGTACAATCTGTCAGAGTTTGGGAACCGCTGCACTATGTATTATTGCTCTAGCCAAACTAGGCTCCCTCTATGAATGTCTATGAAAACTATGAAATCTTGCACCAGGGCAGTCAGATGAACACCTCAGTAGAAGTAACAACCGACGGGCTTTGAATTAGCAGCTTTGGCTCTATCCTGTTTCTACGTTGTTCTCAGCTGTAATTGCTTTGCTACAGGTTATACAGAGTGCTACCGTCCAATTCACTGAAAATTCAGGGAGTTTTGTGAGCGCGCAGGGCACGTGTACAGATAGATACCCAAGCTAGCTCTAAATAACGGAAGCAGCATTGCCACATTAGCACGGCATTCAGTCCTGGCTGATTAGCCCTGGGCTGGAAGCAGAATAACACAGTTAGACCGCACTGGATCACGTGGACACACTCACAGTGTCTATGCCCTCCCAGACGACATTCAAGCAGTCTGAAAGCATTTGGGCTCACCTGGTTTACCTTATGTTCATTAGGATCTGTTACTCGGTCCAATCCATACTCTAGGGCGTCCTGCATGCCTGGCTGTGACAAACAAAACACAACATTAGATTTGGGCTTGGTGCTTTAAACCCACCTTAGCCATGCACAGAAAGCTCCTGCTAATGAACAGCTCCCATCTGGTAGACAATGGTAAAACACTGACCGATCTCTCTTGAGATGGCCCTATGGCTTAGCTGGGAGGGCAGCGGGCATATACCTGAGGCACCCAGGTCAGGTTAGCAGGAGACAACTATTGAGTGGGGCATGCAGATGATGGTGACACCTGGAAACAATTTGGGAGACCCTTTATAGGGAATACCCAGAAGATACCTCGTTATGGGAGAACATGGTTAATACACAGGACACCTGTTCCTGCTCAATGCAACAGGAATCTAGAGGGGGACATTAGAAGGACTGGGACAGGGCCACCAATTTGTCTGCCCTGGGTACAAGGGATTTTGATGATGGGCAATAATTCAATCTCAATAACGAGCTCTGTGCTTTCTGACACGGAAAAAGAAACAATCCAAGACAAGAAAGGCAAGTGGGGTTTAGACAATGTTGTCAAACTCTTGCAATTTAATCCCAAATTTCCTAATGTTTCCTACTTTTTTAAGTCCCGTCCCCTAGAATCCACGATTAATGAAGGCTGAAATGATCCATTTTTTAAAGGAGATTTCTAGCCTATCTGGGTTCAAAGCCTAATGTCCATGACAACAAAAGGCAAATAACAATTGCCCAGATGTTGTTACAGCAATGATCCTGCCTTGAGCTGGGGCTGGACTAGTCCCTTCCAGCCCTACTTTTCTATGATTTTTTTTAACCCTTGTGATTTTCAAGCAATTTCGTGATTCTGGAGAGTTCTGACTCATCGCTTTTGGACGTCCAAGGTCGGCAATGCTGTGTAGAATCAGAGGGAACAAATTCAGCCCTGGTGTAGCCACAAAAGATCATACTGGGGCCAAAGTAGCTGGGTGGTGTAAAGACTCTTCCAGCCATGGCATTATCTGCAAGCAGAGCTCTAATTACACGCTGACATTTGCCTCCAACTTAAAGCCTCCCCGCATGTTAACTGCTGGGTTCTCCGCTGGCTGCTTATTCAATATACACAATTAGCAACGGCTCTTTGATTACGATGGGGAATAAGGAGTGTATCTTTTCGGGACATGTCGGCATCCAAGGACATGGTGCGACCGGCAGGGCCTCGCTCAGGAAACACCCTGTTGACATCTGCCAGAAGTAACAGTGCCCTGCGGGGTACGTGCAGCTAGGGCTCTCTGCTCATGGCACGGACCCTGTGGTGAGCAGCTCCATGCTGCGTCTTTCAGAGCAAGCAGGGCACTCTGGGACATTAGCAGGCACAAGGGCTAATGTCTCTCCCCTCTAAATCCAGGCCTGCCT